TTTCTTCTTAATTATTTTAATTTAAATAATACATACATATTATAAATATATTATAATAAATGTATTTCACAGTATCTTAAAAAATGAGGTTTATATTTCATTATGAAATAATTTTAGTAAGTTAATTTTGTAAAACTATCGGTTAATTTTTACACTTTACACCATTCTCATACAGAAAGAGTTAGGGAGTGGCAGTGACAGTATCATATACATAAATATGCATAGTAAAACACAACCACATTCTAAATATTTTTATAACTATAAAATTATAAAGATTGAATATATTACCTTTACTTAATTTTGGCTCAAAAATGAGCGTAAGTAATCAATATTTGACAAATGTGAAAATTGGCGTCCTTTACTGTTACAAAACATAAGAATATATGTGACATATGTATGATTCACACGAATTCATATCTTCCTAACAATAAGTGTAAAATTTTGTTCACAATTTAAATATAAACACTAATTAAACTAGAATTCTGAAAACGAAAATTCACACAATTCATTGACAAACAAATTTGTAGTTATCCACTATACTTTGACCGGTTAAAAATTCCTGGTCAAAATGGGAGTTCTTAGTTCTTTTCGATATAGTGATACTCTATGATCGGTTCATAACGTTAAGGCCAGCTAAGGCGCTAAGCAATTAAATGCGCTCACATCTTTATTTTTCCATATTACATAATTGATCATGATTGTACACTTCGAAAGATCTTTTTTCTAGTCACGAAAGCTTTTTATAGAATTGAATCTTTGACCACAGAATACATTTCCAAAGGACAGACGCAATCAATCGCAATTCCCAATTACCAATCTTAATCTTTTTAGGTCATTGGATACAACTTATATTATATTTTTTTAAGACAGAAAAATTTGTATAACAGAGATAGAGCATGGACTTAGGATCTGCACAGTATTGCATGCAATATTTTTTTTGTTTCAGGGTCTGAAATATCGACTCTGTATAAAATAGAACGGTGAGCTAGTGAACTATATTAAAAAATTTATAGTTATAAATTTTTACTGTAAAAGGACATTATAAAATATTGGACTTATGATCGTAACAATGTATCATATTGAATATCGAACGTGCTTGTTCATTTAAGCCTCTGCTCATTTCACCAATTTTTACAATATATAGACCTTTTTCATGTCAATACATCATGTCTCCTAACATTTAAAGAAAGCATCAACCTGAATTGAAATAACTTTTTTCTTTTGATGATTGCTGCCGATGAAAGTTTCAATTTATTTATTGTTGTATAACTGTATTTACTTAATTATTATAATAATTTCAGAAATTTCAAAAAATTTGACATTTGTTAAATAAGATATATATTAATGTCTATAGAACCTAAAACTTACTCAAACCTAACCACCAATATGCCTCACCTGTAACGCCATAATACAGTCAAACATATCGTACTATGTATAATGTACTACAATGTACCAAGTACATACTCAGAAGACTGAAGCCAATTCCAATTTAAATCTAGTTTGCAAAACAACCTAAACAATTGCAAAGACATCTCTTGTTATTTTGTTTTTAAAATACGCTTTATTATATGTATAATAAAGGTGTTGGTGCCAAATCCTATGTAAAATGCGGAATCGGATGGCTCGGTTTTTGACATAATAGTATACGGTTAGATTCATGTTAAATTCTGGACAAATTGCTTACTGAGCACTGCAATTACGACGTTAAAAAAATGTCTATAGATTGATTAAAAATTGTGACATTTTTAGTATGATTGTTTTGATAATTCAACAAGACTTTAATAGGTGCCGCCAAATGATTCTTCAGAAAACGAATATTTATAATTTGATAATATATGCTTCTAATCTTTTAATTATTTAATTTTTACGATCCATGTTTTGATTTAGATCATTCAATAAGCTGCTTCATAATACAGCAGTTATATATGAAATTTGTTCGTAATTGATAAAGTTCCATTCTTGACTTTACGGGTAAGTTGAAAAAAGTGACCCTGTTATAAAAATCATTATAAAAACTGAATGCGTAGGTAGATTCTCGAGCTGCTAGTAGAGCTAAAGTCGAATCACAAGTGAACATTCATGGAAAGTCTTGCTACGTTATTCGTTTGTTGCAGGTTAATTAACACGTTCACGCCGGCGTGCATCACCGGTGGGTCACGCTCGACTGTCCTATCTAGCGGCGTGCATCACCGGTGGGTCACACGATACTAAGCCATCGGACGGCGTGCATCATCGGTAAATCACGCTTGAACATTCGTTTAGACGCCGCTCACCATAAAAAATATAGTTCGTTTAGTAACTGGAAAAAATTGCCGTATAGTTGAAAATTTAAATAATTGAAATTGTATTTATTTTATTTTATCTTAACATTATAAACATTATAAATATATATTATAAAACAAAAATTTAGTAATAAAAACATAACAATTAAATATTATAAACTAAACATATTTGTTTATGTATTTCGATGCAATTTTTTAAAGCATTTTATACAGAGTGTTGGCTGGCCTTTACAACGATTACAATACATGATTACCTTTTTAATTTTCTTTGCAGCATACACTCTACCTTCTTTTTTATATAAACAGTTATAACATTCTTTACATCTTTGTCTTGTTTTTCTTGTAGGTCCTTCATACGAATGAAGAAAGTGTGAATCTCTTTTCGACGGTATTTGCTTTCTAATTGCTATTTCTTTACTTCGATAATTATTGATTAAAAAATGATCAATAATATGTTCTTTAAATTTTAAAGTATTAATATGTTTATTACCTCATTTTTTATGTATGTACATACATGTTTATGTTCCATACATAAAAAATGTTTTTGAGACAAGTTCCACATATTAATTATATGATAATTTTTCTGTACCATTCCACAGTTTTTTGTAAACAACTATAATACGAAGACATTTGGTCCGACAAGTCAACATCCTTTTTTGCATCACTATAAAAGAAAACAGTATCAGGCTTTAATTTATTATTTCTTCCTTGAATAATTGTACACATGTGATTCTCACAAGTAGATAACATACAAACAGGTTTTTTATCTGTCCATTTCAAAAATTTAACTCCATTACGATTTTCCAAATTCATAATGCCACCACGGTGTTGTTTTCGTTTTGCATGTGGCGGTAGAAATTTTCTGTTCATTTTGACAGTACCACAAATAAATGTTTGTTTCTCTAAAAGTTCTTCAGCCAAAGGGACACTTGTGTAATAGCTATCTGTAAATAATATGCAGCCCTCAGATAGTAATCCACTCATCAACTTCAGTACAACATCATGTGAATGAGTTTTCGTAATTGCTGTTGCATTTTTTCCGTCATAAATATCAATATTATATGTGTAGCCTCCAGGAAGACACAGTTTATATAATTTTATGCCATACTTATGTCGCTTGCCTGGGATGTATTGGCGAAAACCGAGACGTCTTCTCCATGGAACCATACTTTCGTCGATTACAATATTTTTGCCAGGTTTAATAGCACTTTTGAAGGTATCCACAATTGCTTCAACAATGTTTCGTGCAACCGATCTTCAGTTCTGGCTGTGGTACGCATTTTTTATGCGTGCGTTCGCATACATGTCGCTGTTAGATCAATATAATCTAATTTCTGGTTGTATGCATTGTGCAGCATATTCATTTGTTTTTTCAACTATCTTTTCTAGTATGTAATCCGTGAAGAATAGTTTGTATAAAGCAACAGGGTTATTACAGTCAGTATTTTCAAATAAAAATTCCTCTTCTTCCGAATACTCATTTATTACTGAAGTTCTTTCTCTTCCTGCCATTCTTCATCATGATCCTCGTTCTCTGATTTAAACTCAAAATCTTCTTCCTCCGTGGAACATTCATTCATTTCACTGCTTGCATTAACAAAATCCTCGTCTGAAGAGGAAGAAAGTATCCTTGATCCTGCTTCCATTTATAGATTCATCAGACGAATCACTTATTTCCATATCCATGTTATCTATTATTTATATGGGCAAAAATTTAAAAAAAATGCTAACCACCTTTCTAGTTATACTTACTGGCAGAAATCTGTGGTCAGGATGAAAAAACGGCACGAGTTACACAACTTGCAAAATAAGCACTCACTGTACTATTGAGCAAACAGATGCAACGCGTATACGGGTCTGAACAAGCAACAATCGTGCGCCACCAGATGAAGCGCAGCATGAATTCGAGCGTCGCCTTACAGCGAAAAACATGAAAATCGGCCACGGCGTAAACGTGTTAACTTCCTTTTAAAACTCGATGCGCACCGCATGTTCTTTGACGAATTTCGTCAAACTACGGCGAACTAGTAGTTATATACTAGTCAAGTATATAAAACCCTAGTATTAACAATCTCCCTAGTCATCTCTGGTATAATAAAATGTTTCCTCATAACGGGGACTTGTCCGTATGAGATAAGCTGGGCCTGATTATCCTGATAGAGTAGGCATGGGGGGAAGTTACACTTAACTTGATTGTATTTGTATGTATCAAGCATGTACCAGTAAACACTGTTAAGAATAAAAAGTAGAGATATAAAGAATAGGTGAAGCAGGGAATCCTCATATTTCTAACAAGAAAATATATTCTTTTATACAAATTACATTTAACAAAAATGCAGAATTATAAAATTCTTAGCAATTATTAAGAATTGTAATATCTAAAAGTAAACTTTAGTAAGTGGACAACAAACAAATTTACAATGTAGATAAATATAAATTGTACATTTCTTTGAATTTCATTTCTGTACATCTATATTGCTGCTAATTGTATAAACTCATCCACAAGTGAAAACAACACGCATTTACAAAACCTTCAATTAAACTATAAATGTCTTCTATGCAGCAGCCAGTATTAATTGCTTCCTTTGACTTGCAGTAAACTGCATACAAAGCCTGTAAAGAAACAGTAAATTGTAGAGTTACAATGTCAGTGACAATGAAATATGTGCATGCTATTTACAAAAATAAAGATACAAACTCCTTTTGAAGCATGTAAATCTATAGTTAGCATCATAAAAACTTGAAAGGAGCTTGGATGTAATATAAGGAGATGCGTGATATTTCCATCTGGTGTATTGAACTGCTTATGATGATCTTGATATTTATTTTGTAAAACTTTGGACAAAGTTTGATACCATGAAACTGGTTGATTAATTAGCGGTTTTAGTCTGGGATCTAAATATGATAACGGTTCCACATGGGCCAAAGAACAGAGTTCAGCAAACTCCGTATAATTCATTGTGGATTTACTTTCCAACAGTTTATTCCAGAGTAGATGCGTTTTGCACTGCAACGTTCCTCGATCTATCATACGTGATATATGATTACGAGCTTCACTTGCTCGAAACATTATTGTCTGTTGCATTAACTGCTCGTGTGAGGAGTAATAACCCAAGTAATTGATTGATTCTTGTCGTATTTGAATCATACGTGGCGACGATGAATTTATCGGGATAATTGGGGGATTTGTGTTTTGCGTCAATGGAGAATTCGGCACTGGTGGCGGCGTAGGTGCACTTGCACTATTATTAACAGTACTAAAATTAATACTCGATACTCTAGAATCACTTTTTTTGTCATTTATATCTTGATCACGTTCGAAGCAATCCGAAGAGAATTCTTTTAAAATCTCCTTCTTAAAATTGTTTGTATCAGACTTTGATTCCGCCGAAGTACTTGCTACAGGTTTCTCAATGTTGTATACAGTCCGGAATTTTCCGAGCTTATTATTTTCCACTTCTTTTTTTGGATATAATTCCCTCTTACTCGTTAACATTAAATAATATTTTAATGTAATTCCTGTTTTTTCGATTTGCACAGGTTGCTCTAAATACGATACGATTAATGCAACATCGAAATCATCGGTGTATCTTATATCTTGACCATCACAGTAACTGATGGAAGGTGTATTTTCTAAGTTCACTAAAACGTATTCGAATTCGTGAGAATCTTGATGATCGCATTTCATTTCAAATACCTGCATATTATAGTTTTTCTCGTGGGATAGTAAGTAAGAATACAATATGCGGCCAGGTATTGTCAAATTACGAATTGCCACTATATCTAAAATACACATACATATGTTGCATTATTAGCAAAAGAAATAAATATTTACAATAATACGGTTGTAATTTTATAAAATGTCATTAAAAAATGAAATAATCGTTTCAAATGAACTCTGATGCCACAACACTGACTTGTAAAGAAATAATTAATTCGCATAATTCAAGTTACCTTACAATTTATACGTTAACAACAACTGCTTGCCTCGAAAATTTCTACAAAAGTGAGGCCTACAAAACGTATTGTTTAAATTTGCGCTCTACGCTCAGATAAGAAAGTTAAAAACCATTATTTGTTTACTTTTTTTTGTTATTCCAAACAATTTTAATTTTTGCAAAAATTTGTTCAGACATTGTCTAGTGAACTAGTCGCTCTAACGCCTAACAAAATTCAAATCATTTGGTCTACTTTTCAAGAAAGTTATTACAGTTTTAAAAGTGTCAGAATATTCTAATAAATGAGTGTACATACACAATTTCGTGAGCAAAGGAATTATTTTAAAGAAAACAATTAGATATAGAACTCACCACTATATATAAGATTCCTTGCGTAATTTGGCGCTTTACTATAATATTTATTAAAATCGTCAAGGAAATGAATAAGATGGTAGCCTTGTTGCAACGACCAAGATCCGTTTCCAGCAATGTACGAATGGATGCAACGTAAGTGAAAATCATATGTAAACGAATGCAGATGCATATTAATCTTAATATTGTCACAAGCATCCACGAAGCTTAATAGAAACTGTAATATAATAAAATTTTTAAATTTTCGTACTTAATGAGAATAAATTAATTATTTGTTACAGTGAGTTTGCATTAGATTAATAATAAAATAGCTAGTGAAGATTGGTTCACCAGTCTATCGTTCGTCACTATTTTCAATTAATTAAACATTAACCCATTTTTTAACAATTAATTTAGGAAAGATTCTTAATAAATACCAATTTGAGGCAGAAGATATGTATAATTGTTGAAATTATACATTGTTGAAACGGGCTTTCACGACGGTTTAAAAATCAAACGAAACAATATAAATATGAATAAAATAATATTTATAGTAATATCAATATGAAGAAAAACGGAAGAAGAAAGAGAATAGAAAGCTACAATAAACAATTCATTGATGCAGAAGATGAGGAATATTATCACATTGCATGTCTTGATTCATACAGTTCCAGCAAGTTGGAGGAAAAATTAGGAACTTCAAGAGTGCACTAAACAACACGTGTTATGTCTGTTTTTGTTGCATGAAAATAATTGTTTAAAAACATATTGTGTTACTACAGATCTAAGAAAATATAAAGTCTCGTATAAGTGTACTAGTAGAAATGGAATGTATATATATGTTACCGTGAATGACCGAAATTGGAGAATGTCGACTTTCACCGGTGAATGTCAACAGATACCAAATACGTCGGTGAAAGATCGAATATTTCATTACATTGTTGTACATTCGGACCCTCTCCG